CTACAAGGACTTAGACCTCATCTTCTGCGCCGACCTCAAAGGGGAAGCCGAGTTTCAGACTGTGAAGGACGTGGTCTTGGACTGCCTCTTGGATTTCTTACCCGAGGGAGTGAACAAGGAGAAGATCACGCCGCTCACCCTCAAGGTAAACCTGCCCTATGGCCAGGCGTCCGGAGCGGGCAGGTGGAAGCGCCTGCCGGCGGGGAGCGGGACACCCTCCCCTTCGGGCACGGGCGGGTGCGCGGAGGGTCGCAGCTCCTTCCCACACCCCCGGCTCGCAGGGACCGTGCGGGATTTTTCTCACCCCGGACTTAAAAGCAAGGAGGAGTTTGCGGTAAAGCGGCCTGGCCGGGGCTCCTCGGGATGAATTAGTCTTTTCTCCCTGTCTCTCTCTATTGATTTGCTGAAGTGCTGACTTTCCGAAGAGGGGAGAGGAGGGGAGGGGGAGGCTGTGTGCGTGTACGGCGCGGCAGATCGCCCAGCTCGGCTCTGCGGCACCTTCGCCTGCCGGACCCGCTTCCCGGGGTGGCTGCGCGGAGCTTACACAAGGCGTTAATGTCTGCGAGTAGGAAACATCGGCTGCAAGGCGCGCTGTCCTCTGTGCCCCAGCGCAGAGGCGTATTCCCTCCTCTCCGAGACGCTTCGCTCGAGTTATTTAGGCTGAATGCCAAACGCCTTTCAGATTTTTTAGAGGGATTTTTTGGAATGTGGGGCAGATTTGTAGAACCTGCGCTGAAAGAACAGGATTGAGGGCAGTGAACGCTTGCTAAGTTTTTTGGGCTTTTTTTTTTTTTTTTTTTTTTTTTGTTGAGAAGAGGAGAAGGAAGTGGAAACGGATAAGGAAGATTTCTTATCTGATTGTAGTGGTGACCTTTTGTGTGTGGGTGCGAGGATATTTGGCATGTGTGCCATAGGCTTCATGTGTAGACGTATTTAGAAGTGATTGAAAGAAGCAGTGTTGCCAAATGCTTCCCTTGCACGACACAGTCCCGGCGAAACACCCTCCCTCCCCTGTCATCCCCTTGCAGTGACAGCACTCTGAGCTCTCACATTAAGCGTTTCTTCTCTGGTTTGTAGCTGCAGGCTCCAGGAAATCTTTTATGAAACGCAGGGACGGGGTTGAGGTGTGGGGGAACGTGAGCAAATGCAGGGGAGGGAAATTTCTTGCATCTGTGTCTTTGCTCATTTTGTCTTTCCAATTATAGGAGGCTTATGTGCAGAAAATGGTGAAAGTATGCAATGATTCAGACCGATGGAGCCTCATCTCCCTGTCCAACAACAGTGGCAAAAATGTGGAGCTGAAATTTGTGGACTCTCTGAGGCGGCAGTTTGAATTCAGTGTCGATTCCTTTCAAATCAAGCTGGACTCCCTGCTGCTTTTTTATGAGTGCTCAGAGAATCCAATGACTGAAACTTTTCACCCGACTATCATTGGTGAGAGCGTCTATGGTGATTTCCAGGAAGCCTTTGATCACCTCTGCAACAAGATAATTGCCACCAGAAACCCAGAAGAAATCAGAGGAGGTGGTCTTCTGAAGTACTGCAACCTTTTGGTAAGGGGCTTTAGGGCTGCCTCTGAAGCCGAGATTAAGTCCCTGCAGAGGTACATGTGTTCCAGGTTTTTCATTGACTTCTCAGACATTGGAGAACAGCAGAGAAAGCTGGAGTCCTACTTGCAGAACCACTTTGTGGGATTAGAGGACCGCAAGTATGACTATCTCATGACCCTTCACGGTGTGGTGAATGAGAGCACAGTGTGCCTGATGGGACATGAGAGGAGACAGACTCTGAATCTGATCACCATGCTGGCCATCCGGGTCCTAGCCGAACAAAATATCATCCCCAATGTGGCCAATGTCACCTGCTATTACCAGCCAGCCCCATACGTAGCAGATGCCAACTTCAGCAATTACTATATTGCCCAGGTTCAGACGGTGTTCCCTTGCCAGCAGCACACGTACTCCACTTGGCTGCCCTGTAACTAAGGACCAAAATTAGTAGACCCAGTGGGGAGAACTCTATCCAAGACGTAGGAAGGGGCGACGCGTCCCTTTGAAATGGGGTGTTTTGTGCAATGACGATCTGCTCTGGTTTTAAAGCTTGGGAAAAGCTTGTGGTTTTTCTAATAAATAATGGGAGCATGATCAAGAAAGAGCCCCAAAATAATTGGATCCTACCCCAGAGCACAAGAGGCCTGTCATTAGGAGCAACCAGCTTCCCCTGAAATAAGTGAGGGAGGAATGCTTGATGACAATATGGGTTGGCAATATCCGCTCCCATAGCTTTGGCATAGAGAAGGTGGGAAAGCCTTATTTTCTTTTACTTTTGTTCTTACTCTAGAATGGGATCTGCAAAAGGGAGAATATGAAAGAAAACAAAACACTCAAAAAAAAAGACAAAAAGAAAAAAATTCACAAAAAATAATTCTTTATATATTCAGGAATTAAAAGTTAGAGGCATAAAGCAGAGATAAACTGATTAAAAATGTATATTGGAATTACTGCATTTGGGGCTTGCAGCAAGTGCCGTCTATGGATTGACCGTGTAGAATGTATAGCTTGCTTGACTAGAATGCTTTACCAGAAACAGCTTGCTCCAAATGAACAGTAGTGGATTGGTACGGTTATGAAAACAGAAACACGTACGATGACAAAGTCCATTATTTCCAGCTGTGTGCATGCCTCACATTTTAAAAATGTGGGAGTGCAGGAAAGCCAGCTGTGGCAAACAGAACATACTCAAGGACCAAAGATTACACAAATAAGTTATCCAAGCAAAGAAGATACAGTAGAGTATATATATATATATATATTAAAAAAAAAAAAGAAAAGAAAGATGTTGCTATATTTGTACACACCAACAGGAATCAAAAGTGCCTGATGCCTTCATAAAATTTGAAGTGAGAAAAAAATATAGTTTTGTGGTTTAACCATGTATTTTGTTTTATCAGGGACACGAGGATTAAAAACAAAAAAGAACACTTAAGCTTGTGAATAAGTGGTGGAGGAAATGCCCTATTTTTTTTTCTTGGCAAATACCTGTATAGAGTTAATGTTATGTCGGTGTGCTATTATCCTAGGTACGTGTGTGTATGTGTGTATATATGTTGGTGTGTGTATATATGTACATGTTAGAGGTGTATATCTATATATACACACACAATATATATATTAATGTGGTCTAGGAAAATGTAGCAATTAAGGAATGTTTAAATAAAGTACTATGTGTGTTCCAGTTTGCAACAGGATGTCATAGGACAGTGGGCACCTTGCAGCGAATTTTTAACCCACACCTGAGAAATTCGGAGTAAATGAACCAGTCAGGATTAAGGTGGGATTCAGATAATGTCTTTGCTTGCAAAGGATTACAATAATTCAGTGGGTTGCTTGTGAGCCATACTAATTCCACAAATGGAGAAACATATGACTAGCTTATTTTTTTTTAACTCTTTTGTACTGTAATGCCATTTTGACATTTAACCCACTAATGTTGTGACTGCATACCTCCATGATGTGTAATTCAGTGGAACGTGGATCAAAGATAGGTTTATTTAAACCCCCTGACAGCTAAAGAATATTGTATTAGTTGGTGATTTGAACACTAATTGTTAATATTTAAAGGATTATTTTTAATAGAATGCATTATGCATTCCAGGACCACTAGAATTTAGCAAATGTGAAATGAACCCTTTTTAAGAGTGTTGCACGATTGCTTAAAATTATA